CTTTAAAAGAAGATTTTTTAAGTTTTTACTATATGCATATAGGGAAAATCAATGACCCCCTGGGCGGGGCCAATTTTGACCCCAGGGCTTTTATTTGAACAAACTTGGTAGACACTCACTAGAAGATGTTTCATGCCAAATATCTAAGCTCTAGCTCTTAGGGTTGTTTAAAAGAAGATATTTAAAGATTTTTCTTTCGGTTGCCATGGCAACCAGAGTTCTGCATGGAATTAAATTCTTTGAACAATTTTTAAAGGTGACCACCAAAGGAACATTCCTATGAAGTTTGGATGAAATTGGCTCAGTGGTTTATGAGGAGATGTCATTTAAAGCAAAAGTTTACGGACGGACGACGGACGGACGGACGACGGACGGACGCCGGACGAAAAGCGATCACAAAAGCTCACCCTGTCACTTTGTGACAGGTGAGCTAAAAAGTGACGAGAACAACATAATAGTGGCATGATTTTGTACATTTTTTCTATATTTTTTTATCATATATGTATATACAGCGGTTAATACTGTAGTAACAGCTTTGTTTTGCTCCGTAAATTCATGTACTGGAATAAACGAGGGAACTACTTTAAAAGATATGGAGCCATGACCATTCTGATTCAGTAAATTGTCAATTATACAAATTACATTCCCGTTATGGCATTTGCCGTTTAGCATAAATCATTACACTTAAAACTAGCGAAAATTAGAGGTTTTCAAATAATTGCCGCGTAAATTCCGTTGCTGCAGACGACATAACAGAGAGTCGGTAATATATCAAAGGGGACTCATAAACGGGAAAATTGACATATGACATATAAAAACTATTGGGAAATGTCTAGCGAGCTACTGATGATAAATCTGTGGTTTATACGAATGTTATTCCCCTAAAAAACTTGTTTTCTATCTTGCAAGTTTCTAACAGACCCCACTTTTTCACATAATACATTTATGCTATCAAAGTTTTTTATAAAAATGGTCAAATACGGTGTTGTTCAAATTAATCAGTTGGAAGACGTATGCAATATTATGAAATGTGTAAAATACAATGTAGAATGTACCCGACTGTTCGTAGAACATGACAATAAATCTGTTTCAAGATTACTTTGAATTATGAGATCTAACCATTAATATTGTCAACGGTTACTGCACTCACGGATCTTAATTACATAATAATATAAATCCGTGCTGCACCTAAACAGTGACCCTTTTTTTAGCTAAAAAATTCATTTCTGATAATTATCCCCACTTTATGCTTCAAAATTAGCTCCTTAAGGACATGACTGGTGACATGTCCGGGGTCCATTCACTGCGAAAGCTGCATTTTTGTGCCTTTACGATTGACCCTCATTAAGCATAGACGAGATACATACATATAGCTTAAGATATTGGTTTGTTGTAAATAGAGAATGAAAAGGTACCAAATTTTTTTGAACCTTTATTAAAGTGAATCTTTCTTTGTCCTTAAAAAATCTATCAGCGTTTACATCACACAGACTAAAACTTTCCTATTATCAAAGCTGCAGATTTTCAAGTGAGACTGCCGAACTTTCACGAAATATTGATAATAAACACATTCTGTTGACTTCATAGAGAAATGAATCTAGGATGCCACTGTAATTTTTTTTTCTTTTTACTAAAGATTGTTTCCTTAGCAATATGTGCATATTAACCGACAAACCAAAATTAGACAAGTTTGATGTTTATTTGGTGTTGGAATTGGTTGCACACTAAACTAGTGAGTTTCTGTAACATTAAGTTCACTTACACTTGCAAATATAAATGTCTGAATGCTTTATAATGTACTGGTCAAAGTTCCACGGAGGACATAATAAAGCTAGATTCCATTAAAAAATATCAGATACCTTAAACACCTTCCGCTCGTCTAATAATGTACATTAAATATGTACCTATACAGGTTATACAAGATACATAATTACGCAAGATTATCGAGACATTGTCTTTCAAACTTTTTGACGGCCGTCTTTGAAACAAAGAATTTCATCGAGCATTGCACACGCAAACTTACAGAAATAATGTTTTCAAAAAATGCATACGGACAGTTTTTATCTAATGTAAGCCTAAAAATTTATTAACAGTTTTCCTTTCATCCCTATTTTATTTTTTCTTTGTTCACAGTGTTGATTTGACCGCCATTCTTAAAATAAATATAAATTGTCGCCATGGGTTGAACAGTTGCTTGAAACTAAATCAAAACCTGTTTTTTCTCTGACCAACAGCATACTAAAACAAATGCCCTGACATTTCCAAAGTCAAGTTCCAAATTCTCTTGTATAGGCATGGCGAGGCATAAATTAAAAACAAAACTAAAATCAATGTTTTAGTTAATCACTCTATTCATTTGAAAATTCAAAAAAAAAAATGAAATAAATACATAAATATAATGAAAATATGTACATAACATACATAAATCTAACATCTCATATATACACATTATCATTTATATCAGGTAAAACAGCGTAATTGTTACCCATATAAGTTCTTGACAATTGAAATTTTTCGTAAGACATGCCCACACAATAATTTGATCACCCCCCTCTATAAGATTTTGTTTAAAAATGAAGCTTTACCTTAATTTTAATATCACAAGTCTTGTTTCTTTAATTTACAAGCCATGCGAGAAATACAAAGTTGTGGTCTTGCTGAGGCTCAAACCTTGCACTGAAAAGTCAGTGGGCAGACACATTTATCACAAAGCCATTTCTTCCAATTACACAGATTTAATCACATATTTGCAATTTTTGGACGACACAAAGAAAAAAAACTCTATTACAACAATACTGAAACTTCTGGTTTTTTTTTTACAATTTACAACCTTTTCTGAAAGCTAGATCTAATTACATGTACCAACTTCTCTAAATAGTGTGAAATGTGGACCTTAAATATAAATGAGCCGTGTCACAACAAAACCAACATAATGGGTTTGCCACCAGCATGGATCCAGACCAGCCTGCGCATCCGCGCAGTCTGATCAGGATCCATGCTGTTCGTTTACAAACCCTATTACAAGTAGAGAATCTGATAGCGAACAGCATGGATCCTGATCAAGACTGGCGATGCCAGGCTGGTCATCCATGCTGGCCAAAACCCATTAGTTGGTTTGCCAAGCGGCTAAAATTTAAACCACACAAAAATTTGGGTAATTATTCATAACCCAAATACAAAGTACAAAACGGGTCCTGATCGACTATATACATGTATACAATAGAAAAATAAAAAAGCAGTACGGCCATAGGATAATTTCCCAAAAAATTTTCTCCTTTTAAAATTTCCAGTCAGTGATAGTTTTACATTTTTACACCAACAACCCATGCCTCTGAATTAGGAAAACTCTGGCATGGTATCCATAAAACAAAATTGGGAAAATTCAACAAAGTTATTAAAAACATTCTCTTTATTTTAACTAATCATATTTTCATTACAAAAAGCCATATTATGACTAAAAACTTAAAAGCTTAAGGGATTTTTACAATTTTTGGAAACTTTGAATACTTAATGAATTTCAACAGTTTTGTCATTGGGGAAAAAACCCTTCAGTCCATTTTCCCTAAAAAAAACACTTTCAATTTCAATTATTACAAATCATTTGATAACATTCCTTCTTTTGTTACATCAAATTCTGATTCACCACAGAATCAGTAAATTTCTTTAATTCAGACCCTAAAATTTCATTTGAAATTCTTAAAGCAATAATTGTTCATTGTGTAAAAACTCGAAAAAATTGAACAGCATTCAAGCACTCATTCCACATAAAATAAATTAAACAAAATACAATACATCTAGCAAGTATACATGATGTTTTGGACGGAATCATGACCTACATGTAGAAAAATAGTACTAACAATTATATGATAACAAAAACATAACTAAAATTAAATACACCTACACATCCAAATATTTTAGAGTTGAAATAAAACATTTTCAACATAGCAATTATAGAACTTTTTCAACTGATGAGTCACACTGTTTTTTGTGGTTGTATTTATCAGTTAAGGTAACAATCTAATGTTCACATGAAAACATTCTCGCCTTGCAAGTACACAAGACAAAAAAGTTCGTTCCTAGTTAGGGTAGTTCACAAGACAACTTTCTTTCCTAGTAAGTTCACTAGGAAGTTCACAAGACAAAATTCTTGCCCAATTATGGAAGTTCACAAGACAACTTTCTTGCCTAGTAAGTTCATTAGACAACTTTCTTGCCTAGTAAGTTCATAAGACAACATTTTTGCCTGTTTCATTCAAAATACAACATATTTTTACCTAACTAGCACTGAGCAACATCAAACATGCTTTTGTGCATTACATGTTAAGATCACATGACATTTCTTTCTTTTTCTTACCAGAGGAGATAGATTAAGTAGGACAAAAATCCTTCTGTATGTTAACAGAGGCTGCCTGACACAACTGTATTGAAGAAATAAGAAAAACACAAAAGATGGTAAAAAATAAGAACCTAAGAGTGAAATAAATAGAATTAAAAAAAGAAAAAAAATTTTACAACCAGTTTGAGTGCTAAATTTTTTTAAAAATTTTTAATAAAAAAAAACTTTTTTTGCCCCTTTTTTTTTATTTACAAAAATTTCTTATTTTTAGGTTGATTCTTTTTTTAATTCACAAATCAAATGGGAAATTTAAATTACCAAAAAAAAATAACTAAAAATTTCCATTTTATCTAATTTATAATTGAATTTAAAAAATAAAAATCCTCTATTAATTTATATTTTATTCCTTAAAGTATATTTATTTTTTATGATCTTTGAATTTTATATTAAGAAATATGTGGAGCGAATAATATGTATTTTTACAAAAAAAAATAATTAAATATCTTACTTTTATACCCTTAATGAAAAAAAAGAAGTTATTTGAGGAAAAAGCAACCTTTTGAATTCAACCCCGAAAGAGATTCTATCTACTAAATTAAGTTGCCACCGCAAAACAAATCTTTTAAAAATTTTTGTTCCCTTTTTTTAAAAAGTCGCACAAAAAAAAATCCCGAGAATTAAGTATTTTCTTTTGTAGAAAGATTTTATATTAATTTTGAATAATCACAAGGCACAAAAATGTAGATTCAGTAAAAAGTTAGTTTCAGTTTCTTAAAATAACTGACACTAATGGTCCATGAGTGACAACTCTGGCTAAAACTTTAATGCAATTTGACAGTCAACATAGAGTAGTCCCCCTTATCTCATTCACTGTACAAAAATCTAATTAATTTCAGATAAAAAGTTTAAGAATCAAAATAATTCATACACTATGTAAATAAAAAAAGTTGTAGATTTTTTCTAATATTTTTGAATATGTTTTTTTCTTAATATAAAACACAGACTTGATGATTACACAAAAATTTGTCAGTATATAAACACAGGCATGATCTGAACACAACAACGCCTTGTATATGTGTGTGTGTGTAAATGAGTGAATCATACAAAAATAAGATATAATCATACATGTATATACAATGTATACTAGCAGAAACAATTTTTCGTACATGAACATTGTAACAGAATTACCTTCAAAATATAACAATCAAATCAGCAAGCATTTAGAATGGCAGAGGCAATAATGAGTGACCGATACTGTCACTATAAATCAATTAAGGCCTTAAACTGTTAACTGATCTACCTGTCAGATGTTGATATATCAATAATAACTTCTTATATCAAAACTGATACAGTCAATTATACAAATTCAAACTGTGTATGGTATAACTTTATTTAATATAACAAACTTTTTTCTTAATATTTCAAATGTTATAAAAGGCTGTTGAATGCTTGAAGGTTAAAATACACTGTACAAAATTTATTGTTAATTTTGCTTGTACAAATTATGCACCTATTTCTATATTTTCTGGCAGGCAAGTTAACCTTGTTAATATTTCTATTATCATTTTACTAATAATCTTGTAACTACAGATATTTATACACTGTTTACAAGTCACTTGAATCACTCTTAAAAGAATGAATATCTTTATTAACTGTACATGCTGTTTATGTTTATAACAATATAAATGACCGGTATTGAGCCCGGCCTGCAGTTTGACCAGACTCCTTTATTCTTTATATATCTGACCATTATATCTGTTACTCTTTATTTTACACAAAACTTGTTTGAAAAAAAACAACAATCCAATGATTCAATTTAAAGACTATCTCTTTACTGAACTTTTGTTGAGAAATAAAGTGTTTTCATTCACCACAGAATGTGAGATTCTATATGTAAGATCTAAAGACTATTGTTTTATTCTACTGCGAAAAAGAATTACAATACCTTTTATAGAAATAAATGAAAAGATAGCAAATGCATCTTATTAGAAATTCTGCCTTAAAACATGCCATATATATATAAATAAAAAACTTGTACAAGACGAGTAATTTACCAATTCCTATATCATGGATTTCAAATTTTTAGCTTAAAAAAATAATCTGGGAGAATAAGCTTTGCATACATTTGCCATTTTATGTAATCACCGCATTTGTATACACTTCTGCTCATTCAGTAAAGTATATTCTACCAAACAAAAATTTTTTACTTCTATATTATACAACATTAAAACTATCACTCCATTGTTTATAATTATACCACCTAAATTTTAACGACTAACCAATTGTAAAAATAAGGGCATTCCAACTTATAATATAAACTCCCTTGTATTGGAGAATGTCTAACTCCTTTGTATTGGAGAATGTCTTAACTGATTTGAAATAAGCTCTAAAAATAATCAAAATTACATATACCCATATGAATTACCTCCCCTGGATTATGGAATAACAAGGAATATAGTGATTTTTTTTGTATCCTCAAACTTTCTGAAAAGAGCTATAGTGTTTTTTTTTTTGTATCCTCAAACTTTCTGAAAAGAGCTAGAATAAAAATGCAAAAGCATAACAGATCAAATACTATAAAAAAAAAAGTTTCAAGGATTTCATGACTTTGCTATTGTCCGTAACATTTTCTCAATTTTCTGGTCATTTCGGATGATATTTGACTTGACAGCACCAATGAGGTCTAACTGATCCTTTATGGCCTGATCTACCTCAGATAACTGTACTCTCAATGGTTCTACAGCTCGCTCCGTTATCCTGCAAAAAAAAAAAAATTCACTAAGCATTCAGACAGATAATGAAAATTATACTCAGCTTGAGTATTTATTTATTTGTTTTGATGCTTACTTTAATCACTTTTTACTTTATGGTTTGGGAGAAAGGATCCATTCCTTGAATCAACAAATACACTCTGCAAAGAGTGTTAAGTTTCTTACTCACAGAAACTACAGCTTGCCCCTGATAGTTTGAACCCACACGGCAAGCAATAGTCAGATGTATTAACAACTCTGTCACTTTAATTTCTTTTAGAGACACTGACACAGTAATAGTCAATTGGCATTCTAGTAAATATCTTCGGTGTTACTCTATGCATTATATCATGCACATGTAGGTATGAGAGTAGTTCTAGCAATCTTCCATATGAATAGCTTCAGGATAGCTAACTCAAATGAAGGACAGATTTGAACCTACAACATTGAGGGGCAAGCGATTCAAGATGAGCAACCTTAACCAACTGATAGCCAATTTTTGCTTTTAGTCCAGTACCTGATCACAACAGTATTTCTGTATTTCACATATTTGTAAAGGAAAAGAATCTTTTTATATCTGTTGTGTTTCATGAACAAACAAAACAAGTAACTCATGGATTATAAGAAAGTGTTTTGTGCATAAGAAAAATCATTATTTCAATAACTTTCTTTTCCTAATAATTTTTACTCCTATAAAATCTAAAACAAAAAAAGAGACTCACAACATATTACTATCAACAAAACAAAACCAAGAAAATCTCAGTGCAACAACAAGAACTATTTATTTAATAAAAAAAAGTATTTGTCTTCTAAAAAAGCTACAATATCACATACCGATAAACAACAAAAACAAAAATAAAACTTACGCCTTTTCTCTCTTCAAAGCTAAACCATGTTCCTTATTTTCCTCTTTCCATTTTTCTAATTCTTTCTGCATGGAATCTAAATCTTCTTGAACATAGTCCATTATTTTACCAAGTGGATTAGCACTACGTGTAAGTGTTTGAATACTTCCCCTGAGTTTATCAATTTCACGTTGTACTGCCTCACGTTGTTTACGACGTTGAGCATCAGATATGGTTGGTCGATCCTAAAAATTTAAATTGATAAACAAACGTTACGTATTGATTGTACTTTAAAATTAAAATTGATAAACAAAAGCGTAATGGTTGAAATGGTTGCATGATTTTAACAATTTGCCGATAAATCCGTACAACAAAGTTTCATAAAAGTAATTTTTTAAGTCAATAAATTTCAATTGATAAAAAGACTAAATGATGGTTTGACTTGCAAATTTAAACTGATTAACATAGGCAATTGTAACGGACTTGTAAAAGTTTTGAAATCTTTGGGAAAAAAAAAGGTCAGAATGTCCTCAAATTCAATTGATAATTCTAACACTCACATGATTTTGTCACTATACACAGAGAAGGAAAACAAGAGGGCCATGATGGCCCTGAGGTCGCTCACCTGTATATAGGCCCCCCAACCCCCAACGTTGCAGGGCCAATTTAACCCAAGGGCTTTTATTTGCAAAAACTCGGTAGACACCCATAAGAAGATGTTTCATGCTAAACATCTAAGCTCTAGCTCATTGGGCTTTATTGAAAGAAGATTTTTTTAAAGTTTTTACTATACACATATAGTTAAAAACAATGACACCCCTGGGGCCGGGCCAGTTTTGACCCCAGGGCTTTTATTTGAACAAACTTTGTAGACACTTACTAGAAGATGTTTCATGCTTAATATCTAAACTCTAGCTATTTGGGTTTTTTCAAAGAAGATTTTTTAAGTTTTTGCTATACACATATAAGGATAATCAATGACCCCGGGGCGGTGCCAATTTTGACACCAGGGCTTTTATTTGAACAAACTTGGTAGACACCTATTAGAACATGTTTGATGCTAAATATCTAAGCCATAGCTCTTTGAGTTCTTTCAAAGAAGATTTTTTTAAGTTTTTACTATATGCATATAGGGAAAATCAATGACCCCCTGGGGCGGGGCCAATTTTGACCCCAGGGCTTTTATTTGAACAAACTTGGTAGACACCCATTAGAACATGTTTCATGCTAAATATCTTAGCTCTACCTCTTTTGGTTCTTTAAAAGAAGATTTCTTAAGTTTTTACTATATGCATATAGGGAAAATCAATGACCCCCGGGGCAGGGCCAATTTTGACCCCAGGGCTTTTATTTGAACAAACTTGGTAGACACCTATTAGAACATGTTTGATGCTAAATATCTTAGCCATAGCTCTTTGAGTTCTTTAAAAGAAGATTTTTTAAGTTTTTACTATATGCATATAGGGAAAATCAATGATCCCCCGGGGCGGAGCCAATTTTGACCCCAGGGCTTTTATTTGAACAAACTTGGTAGACACTTATTAGAACATGTTTCATGCTAAATATCTTAGCTTTAACTCTTTTGGTTCTTTAAAAGAAGATTTTTTAAGTTTTTACTATATGCATATAGGGAAAATCAATGACCCCCTGGGGTGGGGCCAATTTTGACCCCAGGGCTTTTATTTGAACAAACTTGGTAGACACCTATTAGAACATGTTTGATGCTCAATATCTTAGCCATAGCTCTTTGAGTTCTTTAAAAGAAGACTTTTTAAGTTTTTACCATATGCATATAGGGAAAAATCAATGACCCCCGGGGCGGGGCCAATTTTGACCCCAGGGCTTTTATTTGAACAAACTTGGTAGACACCTATTAGAACATGTTTGATGCTCAATATCTTAGCCATAGCTCTTTGAGTTCTTTAAAAGAAGATTTTTTAAGTTTTTACTATATGCATATAGGGAAAATCAATGACCCCCCGGGGCGGGGCCAATTTTGACCCCAGGGCTTTTATTTGAACAAACTTGGTAGACACTTATTAGAACATGTTTCATGCTAAATATCTTAGCTTTAACTCTTTTGGTTCTTTAAAAGAAGATTTTTTAAGTTTTTACTATATGCATATAGGGAAAATCAATGACCCCCTGGGGTGGGGCCAATTTTGACCCCAGGGATTTTATTTGAACAAACTTGGTAGACACCTATTAGAACATGTTTGATGCTCAATATCTTAGCCATAGCTCTTTGAGTTCTTTAAAAGAAGATTTTTTAAGTTTTTACTATATGCATATAGGGAAAATCAATGACCCCCCGGGGCGGGGCCAATTTTGACCCCAGGGCTTTTATTTGAACAAACTTGGTAGACACCCATTAGAACATGTTTCATGCTAAATATCTTAGCTCTAGCTCTTTTTGTTCTTTAAAAGAAGATTTCTTAAGTTTTTACTTTATGCATATAGGGAAAATCAATGACCCCCCAGGGCGGGGCCAATTTTGACCCCAGGGCTTTTATTTGAACAAACTTGGTACACACCTATTAGAACATGTTTCATGTTAAAAATCTTAGCTCTAGCTCTTTTGGTTCTTTAAAAGAAGATTTTTTAAGTTTTTACTATATGCATATAGGGAAAATCAATGACCCTTGGGGCGGGGCCAATTTTGACCCCAGGGCTTTTATTTGAACAAACTTGGTAGACACTTATTAGAACATGTTTCATGCTAAATATCTTAGCTTTAACTCTTTTGGTTCTTTAAAAGAAGGATTTTTTAAGTTTTTACTATATGCATATAGGGAAAATCAATGACCCCCCTGGGGCGGGGCCAATTTTGACCCCAGGGCTTTTATTTGAACAAACTTGGTAGACACCTATTAGAACATGTTTGATGCTAAATATCTTAGCCATAGCTCTTTGAGTTCTTTAAAAGAAGATTTTTTTAAGTTTTTACTATATGCATATAGGGAAAATCAATGACCCCCCGGGGCGGGGCCAATTTTGACCCCAGGGCTTTTATTTGAACAAACTTGGTAGACACCTATTAGAACATGTTTCATGCTAAATATCTTAGCTGTAGCTCTTTTGGTTCTTTAAAAGAAGATTTTTTAAGTTTTTACTATATGTATATAGGGAAATCAATGACCCCCCGGGGCGGGGCCAATTTTGACCCCAGGGCTTTTATTTGAACAAACTTGGTAGACACTCACTAGAAGATGTTTCATGCCAAATATCTAAGCTCTAGCTCTTATGGTTTTTTAAAAGAAGATATTTAAAGTTTTTTCTTTCGGTTGCCATGGCAACCAGAGTTCTGCATGGAATTAAATTCTTTGAACAATTTTTAAAGGTGACCACCAAAGGAACATTCCTGTGAAGTTTGGATGAAATTGGCTTAGTGGTTTATGAGGAGATGTCATTTAAAGTAAAAGTTTACGGACGGACGGCCGGACGACGGACGGACGCCGGACGAAAAGCGATCACAAAAGCTCACCCTGTCACTTTGTGACAGGTGAGCTAAAAACTGGTGTTAATCTGTCAATAAACACCAGTTAGGGACTACTTGTATATGCGCTGTTATGATTTCACCCTCGAGTGTATAGTTTAAAAAGCATTTTAAAGCAAAAATAAAAAATATTTTTATTTATATTTTCAGTTCGTATAATGTTTTCTTTTCATACAATACCAAAATAATATCTCACATACACTAACGCCACATATTTGATCCATATCAGTTAATAAATATTTTGATAAAATGGCGCCAATCAGTAAGCAGTGTAATGACGTCATCCTAAGTAAACAACTCATTCATAAACAAGCTGACGTTATTTCATACATACAAGAATGATAAATGTGGCACTGATGTAAACACAATACGACGTAAGTTTTTATTGTTGAAAACTTGATAAAATAATGTCTTTTTCTTATTATTTCTTTTGTTTTGATAGTTTCTATATCTTCGCAACAGTAGGGTGCGAAAATCGATCAGCGTTATACATATAAAATCGGCACCAGAGTTATATCCGCTTGAAAAATAACATTAGTGATTTTCCTTATTTTATCATGTTAGAATCGAAAGAACATCGACCGGAGATGTGTATATCGGCTATTTTACACCGGTTTTGTCATTTTGATGCCACAAAATTAACCACTACGGCCTTCGTGGTCAATTCCTACGCATCAAAACTCCAAACCGGTGTTAAATAGCCGATATACACCTCTCCGGCCGATGTTATTTCTTAAACATAGACATGCTGGAAGAGTAAATTTAAACTGATACATGTAAATAAACAATGAGTTAGTTTAACATGTCATTATATAAACAATGTTCTTGTCTGACTTGCAAATTTAAATTGATAACAATTGGTAATGGGTTGGTTTGACTTACACCCAATAAACATAAAAAAAAAAGAACTACTTGTAAAATTTGTATTTAGGCATTCAAAACTGATGAAAAGCGAGTGAATAAAGTATTACAATTTAAGTAGTAAAATATACATGTATATAATATTGTTTGTAAAATTTACAGACATTCTACTGGTAAACATGAATGGTGATAAAATTTATGAAACTGAAATAAGTGTAACTAATTTGTGAAATTTGTATAGATATAGTAAACATAAACAGATATGTAGATATGTCTCTGACATAAATGAGCGGTAACATTTTGTGACGAGATACAGACTTCATATGAGCAGCGTCACGACAAAATCAACATAGTGGGTTTGCGACCAGCATGGATCCAGACCAGCCTGCGCATCCGTGCAGTCTCTGTTCGCTATCAGTTTCTCTACTTGTAAAAGGGTTTGTAGGCGAACAGCATGGATCCTGATCAGACTGTGTGGATGCGCAGGCTGGTCTGGATTCATGCTGGTCGCAAACGCACTATGTTGGTTTTGACATGACGCGGCTCAAATAAATGAATCGTGAAATGGTGAAAATTGCAAATTTGACAATGTTTACATTAATGGATGGTCCTTCCTATAAAATTACAAATGAAAAACAATAAAAGTTTTACATGACACAAATTATTTTGTTATACTGTTTTAAATGAAAATGTAGCAAAAATTTTTGGTACCATTTGTAAATGATAAACATCAATGTTTTAATAATCCTATAAATTCCATTTGAAGAAAAAAAAGAGATGAAAATGATTGGCTATTAATTTATTAAATATGCTTTTATAAACTCCAAAATTATCTCCACAATTCACCAAATTACCATAAATAAATAATATCATGATTTTGGCAATTAATTATTGACAAAAGCCGAGCATCATGACATTTTCAGAAATTATATCACTCTTGAGGCTTAATTAAACACAACAATTTATAGAACATATTATAAATGCACTTACGATTTTTGTTTCCCTTGGTTGTTCATATTCTTTCTTTGACTCCATAATTTTCTTCACCAGGCCCCCATGATCTTCATCATCCTCATCTGCCAGGGGTGCAGATTGCTGATTATAACACAACAGAAAAAAAATATATAATTTCCTTTCACTTTCAGTACAAAACATATTTTCCTTCCATTATAGTACATGTACAAACATTATTAACATTTATATCAAAGTAAAACTTGCTACATTAAATAAGTCTTTAACACTGAAATATAAATATACAGTGTATATCAATTTCACTTCTATTTAGTTTTCAAGTCACACAAATATTCTTAAAGCTGCATGCCTCAAGATGAGCTAAAATATTTCAAGAAAATAAAACTTGAGTAAAAAGTACATGTCATGTCTCCTATTGGTGCTTTTTTGGTTAAGAGGCTCAAGAGTCCCAATGAGCATTACTTCTCTCACAAATATGCTCCTTTTTAAAAAGGTGACCATTTACATTCTAGCTGTAATGAAACTATGCAGAAATGAAAGCAACCATACAGCAGTAAAGAGGCAACTGCTGTACATATTTAACGATTATCTTGATAGCCTTACACAATAGATTTTCAAAACAGTATCTTGCTAATTATAAGGATTTCAATATCAACACACAAAACTTAAGCAGCCAGTAGTATAAGTCTATACATTACTGGTGATGCAGGGCAATCATTATAACTGCTACCATTCCTACCTGTTCAATAGGTTCTTCAAGCTGAGGTTGAGCATCTTCTACAACAAATGTCTCATCCTCGTCTGAATCTTTACCATCATCTAGAATCAGATTCTGTGGTTTACCACTCCCTAACCTACAAGGCAACAATAATTATTACTTTAACCTTAACCATACTGATGGCATCTAAATTTACTCTGATACAGTGCAGACCAAAATGAGATTCTTAACATTGATACTATGGCCTTCGGACATTTAACAATTGGTAATCTGTTCAATGTCTGCATTGTTTGCCATTTAGTCAGTGCTTTTTGGGAAATTTTTCCTAAAACTGATAAATGGTTTTGCCAGATTAAATGATGATTATTCCATTTCAGATATTTAGAGTTGTAAGGGTTAAGTCATTCAATTATTTTTGTATCTGTGACAAAGAGTTTCTTTTTCACTTATTTTTGTTGTTGTATTTTGTTCCTTCTCGTAGAATAAAGATCACAAGGTGACTTTCCAGCTTTACTGTTAGAGAATGACCTCATGTACCCTTCATACATTATTTAACGCACCAAAGGACACCGGAGTAGAACCACACATTCTGTAAGCAAGCTTGATAGCTTCCTAACATAAAAGAATCCAATGTCCCTGGTACGGATTCGAAACTGCAGCAATCAGGGGCAAGTGGTTTGAAGTCAACAACCATAGACACCTATATAGTATTATTTTGCACAACTGTTGCTCTTTAACTCATATATTTTAATATGCTAGGTAAGGTAATTGTGCATTTTTGCAAAGAACCACAATTAATGCTAGATATTTGACGTCATGACATCTTGCGATGTATTCTTAAAAGTTTGTTTGTTCGTTTGACACAGTATATGTCATATGGTGACATTCCAGCTTTACTGGTGGAGGAAAACTTAAGGTGCCTCTCTGTCACAGACAGGCACCCAAGATAACCACCGACATTCCTAGCTCTCTAGCTGGGTATTCTTAAAAGAGAAAACCACAATATGTCATGTTTAACGGAAAGTTAACCTCATTGCTGGTTCACTCTGCACCGTGTCTTCCTTTCTCTTTGGGGGAGCAGGTCTCGCACTGCTTGGACGTGCCAACCTCCTACAATAATAATATAAATTATTAATTTCATGCCAGTATAATCACATCCGTAAACTGTAATCTTATATTTGGAAAGAAAATTAGTTATTTAGTTCTATTAAAAGATCTAAATCCTCATTCACAACTATTTATCTATCTATGAAAAAACATATTCATAATTATATTTACCAAAAATTTGGTTCATTGAAATAAAAAGAAATTGTTGGAATTATTGACCACAGCAAATGTGTACCTCGTATTTGGTGACTTTAAAATAATTTTACACTAAGACGACATTACACAAAAAAAAAAATTACCCAGTAACTTGTGGGGGAAGGTCATCCTCCCCTAGGGTTGGTTCTTGTCTTTGTGCTGGTACATCTGAAAGTTTAAACCAAAATCAGCATGTTTACACAAATCTCTTCTTCATTATTTCAACAGATCAACAATCAATCCTGAATAATAAATAACATAAATCTTGAATAACATAAATCTTGTATATAATAATGACCAAACAAATTTTATTTCTCATTAGAAAAAAATTAAGTTAAATCCCATAATTATTAAGTTTGTATTTATTTTATTGGAAAAAAAAATCATTTTTGACAAGTATCTCCTTTTTATAAGTTACCGTAACATAATTGTATACACTAGAATTTTATGAACTTAAAAAAATAGGCACAACAAATAGACTGTTGTTGCATGTTAATTTTGATTAGAAATTATTAAAAAGTTTAGTATTCAGAATAATCACTAGTACAGTTAGGTTAAAATTAAAATATAAAAATTAAAATTTGTCAGCTGTTTATTAATCTTTGCATGGTGCCTGATCTTTAAATCTATCAGTATATTTTAACCCTTAGCCTCAACTGGAGGCGACTGAATCTACCTATGCGACAAATACAGACCAAAATCAGCTGGCAAATTAGTGCCATCAAATCATGGTCTGCACTGTATGCTATTCAGACAGATTCAGTCAAGTACATATGTAGATATTTTCCCTAAAACTAATAAATGGTTTTGTCCAGATTGAAAGATGGACAAGTCCATTTCAAATATTTAACATGGTACTGGCTAACTCACTCTTACTTATAATTTTTTATTCCAAAAAAAATTTGTGTTGGATTTTACATTTTAAAAAGTATTGCAAGTATTTTCTTGTTAAAATAAAAGTAAATTATGATTTTTTATTTAAATAATTAATGCATCATATATAGATATTTATTGTCTATTAATAAACTAACATATGTTTGGATCAGGCATTACAGCAATAGCCAATAAAGACTTTATTTATAAGAAGTTAATGCTTTACTATTGATTATCAAAATTTACATCTGTTTTGCTTGTTGTTGTTTTTGTTTAGTTTTCATGTTGTATATTTTCTGGTTAGGTAATTATACATGTATAAGCCAGTAAAAATTTAAAAGCAATCAGTAGAAAGTTGCTGATTTATGTGCCAGTCAATGGTAACCCTGGCCCCCATCCCATAAAGCTTTTGTCTGTCCCAATACTGCCTGGACAATGCAGTAGTTTTTTTTTGTACAAAAAAGCAGAGTCAAATCAAATACTGTATCATACATTATGTGGGGTTATTTAGTCAGAAATTAACATTTTACAGTCCAACACTGGGCTGGTCCTTCTAAACAGGTTTGAAAATATCAAAAAAATAAGCCCATGTGATGTCCCCATGGTGGGGCGACCTGACCCCTTAGCCAAGGCTACAATTGACTGGTACAATTTTACATGAGAAAACAATCCGGCTATTAAATGAGATAACACACATACAGACAAATATAAACATATAAAGCCACATATGGATTTAGGAAAAAACTGATATTTACCATAAAATATTACATTCAATTCAAAGCAAGCATGAAAGCTTTACATATAAGATACAATAAGTGACTTTTATTTTATTTACATGCATTGTACGATCATGTGTTGACTGCAATAAATTGCTTGAGATAAAAAGCAATTACATAGCAAAACTGTAAATGTTGTAATTGGTATATAGATATCTTATGTAGTAATGAATGAAGAGCACATCAGTGTACAAATATCTCAAAATATTGTGACAGTGTATAATAAGCATAAATGAGCCGCGTCACGACAAAACCAACATAATGGGTTTGCGACCAGCATGGATCCAGACCAGCCTGCGCATCCGCGCAGTCTGATCAGGATCCATGCTGTTCGCTTACAAACCCTATAACAAGTAGAGAAACTGATAGCGAACAGCATGGATCCTGATCAGACTGCGCGGATGCGCAGGCTGGTCTGGATCCATGCTGGTCGCAAACCCATTATGTTGGTTTTGTCATGACACGGCTCAAATATATTCAACACATGAAAATGGTGAAGGCATTTCATACACTGTTTTGATATACAAAGAGACAAACTGAAGCATTTTATATTACAATATAATAGTATGATTTTTTTTTGGCAGGCTTGCAATGGATGAATGCAACTTAAATAAATTTATTTAAACTTTCTAAAAAAAAAAGTGTGTTTTTTTTCTCTAATCTAAACCTATTTAACAGGAAAAAAATAAAAATAATGAAATTAAAAAAACTGTAAACCATTCTATAAACCAACACCAATCTATAACTTAAGAAACAATTTTCTAGCCTTTAAGAATACTTATTAAGTTTCTACGTTACTGTTTATATTACTACAAGTTCATTATCAAGGTCAGTTTATCAATGGGAAAGGGGTTTTAAAAATATAGTCCAACCACAAAATATTCAAATGCTGACAGGGTAACTGACTACATACTTACTGCATACTTTTCGATATAATTAATGTTTAAAAATATTTTGATTTATCTTTGTTCATAATTAGATAACTTAATATTTCAAAGATTTTAAAATTCAAATTTATGACGTTTGACTTAGTTTAAATAAAGCATTTTAAATTAATGCATGTAGGGAATTTACAATTAACTTAATGAACAAAAAATACATGTACATTTTTTTACAATTTGTGAAATTGTCAATAACTAGTACTTTTATCATAAACTATTATTTTACCTATATACATTCAAATACATTTGACTTATAATTGCATCATAATAAAGTACACATTGTATATTATACAAAATTTGAAAAATCTCCTTTCTTATAAATTTTCTTCATTTTTGGCACATAAATAGGGTAACAATATTTAATCAATAATCCTACCAACAAAACAAAAACAAAAAAATCACTATCTTAATATTCGTAATATTTTGTCTATATATTAAGGGAACACTGAAAAGCAATCAGACAGGCAAAACAAAAAATGTTTAGTTTTTCTTCATCTGTATTTTTAAATAAATTACAAGAGCCAGACTGGTTTTACTTCACAATAAACAAGATTCCACGTCTCATTTATTGCAAACTTAGTCTTTCCAATGATAGACGCTACGTTTTTACTTATTTCATAAAAGGCAGAATTAAGCTCAAGGCTTTCTGTTTCTCCTTAATTTTACTGTTGTAAATTGTATGCCTAATTAATAAATGAGCAAAATTTTAGATTTAACACATTACCTCCTGTGAGAATTATTAATCTATTTCATGTTATGCAAGTCAACAGTATTAAGCCTTGCCAAGCTGCATGGATGTGCAGGATCTAACAGCTAAACGGTTAAATACAAGTTAGGTACAGAATTAAGAATGTCCTGTCATCATATAATAAAGCATATGAAATTACTTTACATGACTCTTGAAAAACTAAACATTATATAATTTGTTTACCCTAATAAACAAGGAAATTTTCTACGGCCAAAGACATTAATACATCTTTTTATGGTTTCATCCCAAGGTAAAAATTTAGATCCTAATCTTAACATTTTTTGATCTGTATGACCACAAATTAGAGACAGAATGTTTTTAAATCATTTTCTTTAAAAATAAAGCAATTTGAAGATTTTGGAAAACAAAACTTTGGGGGTGTTAAGAAACCATGAACAGATTATCTTTGGCCTATTTCTAAGACTAGCTATAAAACAATGGTTAAATATGGTTAGTAATAGGACATGCTGTACAGGTAGATCTAATTTATACATAAAAAAAGTACACAGAAAGTAATAAATAACATAATTTCTCGTGTTTTGTTCTGATTTTTACCTTCGTCACTGCTTAAATTGCCTCCTGTAATAATTCAAATCACCAAAACTTGATTAATGATTGAATTTACAATTGAAAAAGATGGATTTATAAAAAAACAACATGCATATGAAAGGAAAGAAAAAAAATATCATGTTAAGAAAAAGCACAAGGACTAGCTAAAAACCTTTTCAATAAGTCTTTCAATCACATGCAAATTCTTTATTACAGATTACTTAACACATTAGTTTGAGAGAAAAAATTACAAGATCTAGTAATATTTTTACCTCCTTTTCAATATTGTTTGCCTTTGAAAATTTATTACCATTATCTTCCTTTGTTAATCTAGGGAAAATCATTCCCTCTCCCTTTGTTTATCTTGGAAATATCCTTACCTCCCTTGGATTATCCCTCCCATCGTTTTTGTTCATGTAGGGAATATCATTACCTCCCTTTATGTATCTAGGAAATATCATTACCACCCTGTCTATCTCTCCCTTTGTTTTTTTCTAGGGAATACCATAATCTTCCTTTGATTACTTACTTAAGTATCATACTTACTTAAGTATCATTCCTCTTTTTCTCCAGGAAATATCATTACCTCCCTTTGTTTATCCCTCTTTTTATATGAAATTTAATAACCTCCCTTTGTTTAGCCCTCTCTTTTTTCCTAAGGAATATCATTTCATCCCTTTAATTATCCAACTCCTTTTTTCTTTAGGAAATTTAATTGCCTCCCTTTGTTTAATCCCTCTCTTTTTTTCCTAAGGAATATCATTACGTTCCTTTGTTTATCTAGTAAAAATCCCCCCCTTGCTTTTTATAGGAATTATCATTTATTTGTTTGTATCATTTTACGCCTTTTCCCAACAGTATTTCAGTCATATAACCCTAACCATCGTTCCTGGAGAGTTACACCAGTACTAGACTTCCTTCCTCAGCGCTAAACCACAAAAGCATCTCCCAGGGATCAAACCCACGCCAGAGAGGTAACTGAAATAGAAGTCATCGACTCTAACCCCTCGACCACGGAGGCGGTTAATTATCATTTATACCCCACTATGATAAGTTAGGGAATAGCATTAGACTCCTTTGTATATAATACAGTTGATTGTCAAATAGAAAATAAAGTAAGATATCTATGACAATATAGATGTCAAATAGTGAAAAAAAATGATAGATAAACAATGAGTAAAAACTTAGATATAATTCACTCTTTCACTCACTATACGAAACTTCAATGCAAATTACCTGTATACAAACAGAAATAAGAATAAGAGGTAAGTTTCAGAGAAGAATATTAGTTAAAGCAAAGCTTTAAGACTGCCTGTAATTCAACATAGAAAATGTTCAAAGCATGGTGCTATGAAGCCAATTCATGTCAGTGTAGTTCACTAGAAACAGAAATTACTCGAGTTAGAAAGTCACACTATAATGCACTAATGCACACACATTCACTCAACAGCCTAATTCCCTCTGATTTTAAGTAAGGTCAATTTTATTTATAGGTTTTTTTTCCTAGCTCTGAAGTAATTCTTTTAACCGCTGTACCTTTGAGCCCAAACTAGAACTTAAAAGTAACCAGTGAAATTAACCAGTGTAATCTTTTGACAGATACATTATCGGACTTGTTCATAATGGCAAAAATGTTAAATTTCCCAAGTCATTAAAGGTGTCCAAAAGATTCAAGATTTAGCTGATTTTTCTCATCAAATTACCTAATTTCAAGAGAAGATTACCAATTGAATCACCCCGATTCCATTCCAAATGGGTGAGAAAAAAACATCAAAAGAACTTAGTTTAAAATGTATTTTAGCTCAACTGTGAAACAAGTTCTTGCAACTAACATCAATAAATTTCAAGTACTAACGACCATTGGTATCATATAAGGAAACATGATTCACTTTGTAACAAAAAAAATTGTCTCAAACCCACAATAGCCCGGTTGACATGCAGACACACTAACCACTAAGCCAGCACAGCTGCGTCCTCATGTTTTCAAAAAATGGTGAATCCTTTTAATAGAAGTTACATGGGAAAGAAATGAGGGACATATTGCCATTCAACCTTGTTACAGTAATTAGCTCTTTCCAAATATAAAGACCACCTTGGTTTAGCAGGTGACAAGTCAGGCTATCTTTAACCTTATGATGCAAGTAAACAGGAAATTAAAAGGAAAATACTACAGCATTGTTGAAAGCTGATAATTGATAATTAAGACAAGTTGATTTACAATTACAACAAAAGTAACAGTAACAATATTTATGCACACTTTTATAATAGAAATGGTGAAAATGTTGTAAACGGTTCATGTCAAATGTCTGTCATAAATTCGAAACACTGCCTTAACTACTTTAAAAAAAGCCAATGTTTTTAAGAAATATCGCTTTCAATTCCACATCCATGTTGGTATGTTATACCAAATGTAGCATTTATCTGAATTAAGATATCCCTATCAAGAACCACTGGGACAATGATGAGTGAATACAAAAGGCAACTGAACTGACAAATTATGTCAATAAAATTGAAGTCTTAAGGAAGCAGTTCAATTTTATAATACGATATGTCTGTAGAACACAAATGTTTCTGTCCCATATTAGTTAATAGAAATTCATGGTGAATTATTTGTAAATTCTGAAAACTTCATATTTTGAAGGTCAATATTATTTATAGGTCAAGGTCAAATTTCAATGTGGTTTACTGACAATGCATGCTAAAGGATGAAGGCTCTAGCCTATGATGTTACTGTCAAGGTTAAAGTTGTCGCAAAGGAACCAAAACAAAATGTCCCTCAATAAATTGATGCAAAGGCGTAAAAAATACAAACAAAATAAGTAACAAATCTTAAAGCAAATATATGGGAACATTAGTAAATACAAATTACAATTGTGACTTTTATAGGGACAGTATATTATATAAAAATGTGAAATCAGTTTTCTATAGGGGGAGAAAAATGGTTAAGGCAGATATTTTTTTGTTGTGTTTAATAGCATCACAGCAAATAAAACAAAAATACTTGTGTCAATTATTCTGTTACTTATTAATATCAAAATTACCTTCTGTAAAAGTCACTGGAGCTGCAAGGCAACAAATTTTTAACTACAATTCTATGGGCAACAAAAAGGCCATGATGACCGAATTCTCTTTGACAAAGTCAGAACACTGGAATCAAAAGTGGGTCTAAGAAAACTTTTACAATTTTACTACTTTTTTTCTAAATGTGATCAAAATACGTATTTTTCCTTAATTCAAAGAAGCATGTAAACTTTGGTTATATAAAAGACTTTTTAAAATTACATATACAATATAGTTTTCGCATGATTAACAATCATGTTAGCAGTGTTCTTTAACCCACTGTCTCAATATAAACGTATTGCCCCTTTTAACTACCAACTTCTCCACTTGCATTAATAATGTGGAGATCCATTATCAGTAGATTACACAAACTTTGGCCAGATTTTCAATTACCATAAGTGGTGTGCTCAAACTAACAGATATATGGCCCATTCTATACATAACACTTTCCAATAATAGGCTAAATTGCTGAAATGGTATTTATACTTAAATCAGAACATGCCATGTTCACAGTGGCAACGCCAAAGCAAGAAATAGGTCAATTTCATAAAAATAGACTTGAATTTTTGTAAGATTTTTCTTTACTCAGACAAATAAGAGTAAGTAAAAGATTGTATTTCATCAGAGTTACTTTGAGTGTTACTGTTAGAAAAACCATGCTGTTATTTAAGAGTTCCAAGTAGATTCCATGCTAAGACAGAATATTCATTATCATGCACAAGCTATTGATTTTGTCCTTAGATCAGGAAATTTCCTTAAAATATACATCAGACTTGACACTTAAAAATAACCTCCTTAAATGTTTATTTAAATTTTCAGACTAGATAATTACTTGAGTATTGTATTTTCAAGCATTTAAAGTCTATAAAAACAACAAAATCAGACAAAAGAATTTTAAAAATGTCTTGAATTAATTCTTCCCTTTTAGATTGCTTAAAATCTGGTGTTGTTTTTACAATTTAAAGAATGATCCGAGAGTAAAAGCAATCAGCAGCTTGACCGGACTCGAACCAAGGACCTAGACCAGATGTCAAACCGGACCGGACTCGAACCAAGGACCTAGACCAGATGTCAAACCGGACCGGACTCGAACCAATGACCTAGACCAGATGTCAAACCTGACCGGACTCGAACCAAGGACCTAGACCAGATGTCAAACCTGACCGGACTCGAACCAAGGACCTAGACCAGATGTCAAACCTGACCGGACTCGAACCAAGGACCTAGACCAGATGTCAAACCTGACCGGACTCGAACCAAGGACCTCGACCAGATGTCAAACCTGACCGGACTCGAACCAAGGACCTAGACCAGATGTCAAACCTAACAACCTCGGAATACTATTCTTTTGCTTTTTTAAACTTAACTTCCTTGCTGCCAACATATTTTCTCCTCAATAAAAGAACAGTTCTATACAGTAACTTATTTTATTTTTCACCTATAATGAAATCCGTCCACAAATTTTTTAATTGGGTAAAGAGAACAATGTAAATTGATTTGGTTTTAGCATCTTGTCAGATGGTAAGTGTAAAGGGTGAGAAAAATGTGCAGTCTACCACTGGGACACATATCTTGGACCCCTCGATTGCTGTACCCCGGCATACTCATTTTCATCCCAATTAGTAATCAATTCTATACTGTGACAAAGTAAAGAATAGGACACATTGTGTTATCTTATACAACTGATTTTCAAATAAGAAAAAAAAAAGCAGACTATTTGATGTATATTTTAAAGAATTGTCGAATTATAGCCTGACATTGCATATTTTGTCATATATTTGAATATTTGATAAAATTTCAAACCAACTAAACGAGATGTTCAAAATTTCACGAAAAAGTGACCAAAAAAAACCCAGTGAGAACTGAGCATTACTTTTTGTTTTAACAGTTAATGTGATCTCATTCAAACATACTAGTGCCTAGCATTAACTAAAAATAAATCTTTATAAAGAAAAAAAAAATCAGACAAAATCTATACAATCTCACAACCATCATTCAAACAAACATGAAAAAATATTGTCTTCTTTATAAAATATCAAATCTTTAGTTGTAACTAAAGACATAAAAATTTTGAACACTAAATATGCAAGTACCTTCCATTCGCCTTCGCGATCCTTTCGCTGACGAAGGTCTCTGCATCTTTGCAGGTGCATCACTCTGAAAAGATAAAAATATTTAATTAAGTTAATACCCCCAAATATGTTTTCTTAAAGACAAGCAAATTATTACAAGTACATTCCAAATATCACCTAATTTTTTTTTAAAGTTTTACAGATGAAGCACCATTTTAAACTTTAAATTTCATGCTTAAAATAATAAATGGACTTGTCATTCTTTCAATCTAGATAAAGTCATTCATCATAAACAGATGTTCTGTACACTGGTCACATGGATAGATCACCACCAGCTTGCTACAAGACAATACAAATTAATGGTCACAAAAAACAAGTCCAACTCATAATCTGTTTTTAAGACTGAGCCTAAAATGGCATCAGCAAAAATGATGAGAAAAAAAAACAAAACTTACAGGTTTATGGTCTCCGTTCACCATGTTTTCTTTCGGAGCATCATTCTCTTTACCTTCTTCTTCTCTTCTCTGCTGTAAAAATATAAAATCTATTATATTCTCATAAAACAATGTCAAATGTTCCAAGGAATATATGTGTAAAAAATTAATCTTGTATTTCATCATGCTTATTAAGAATACAGGGCTTTCATTATTAACAGATTGGCAATCCTTATCATCAGTTGAAAAGCTGTTCAAACTAGTTGTTTTCGTTGGCACATCTGTTGCCTTAGATGAAAAACGAAAACCCTTAAGAAGAACATGACTTCATTTTGTAACAATTATTTACATGATATTTCATTTTAAATTTGAATGATGTATTTGTACTATAATTTCAAATTATTTAATTTTACAAATCCTCTTATAATATCTTATTATTTTTTAGATTTTTCAAGAAACTGGAAAAAGAATTAATAAGGACTATAAAAGTCAATATCAAACTCAATACTACATTTTAAATGTAGAAAAATATCGCTCAAGTAAAACAATATAACCACATATAACAAAATACAGCAAAAAAAACAACAACAAAAACCAGAAACAAAATTAAAAATAAATAACAATACAACAAAGGAACTGTAGAACTTTTAATTGCAATAAAATCATGATAACAATCAAACAGTTGAACATAGTCTGAGGGTATCATCGTGACAGGGTCATTGCTTGTTTTTAAATTTTAAATTTCTTGACTTACAACAGGGCTTCTTTTTTCTTCTATAACTGTGGCCCCTTAAGGGCAGCCTCCCTAAAGCATAATTCTTTAAAATCATGCAGTTTTCCCCAAAAATTGAATTAACATCAAGTTTTTTCTCTCCCTTTTGCAAATATATCTTATAATTTTCCACTGAAAATTAAGGGCAGGGTTGATTCCCAAACCTTTAAAAAAAAGCTGTGTTAAAACAGTGTTTAAACTTAACTATTATATTAAACTACTTCTGAAAGTGTCACATCGAACCCTCATAATATAACAACACCTGTCTATTATCGGAAATCGAAGTAAAACTACTTCTTTTCCTCCTGTCACCAATTCCATGAGACCGCTTTTTCTTATAGTATACTTCTTTAGTGTCAGATCTATCAAGTTTTTGATCAGAGTCAGTTTTATCAGAAAGGTATTCTTCATGATGCTTAGACTTCATTTTCTCATGGGCATAATCATCATTCCTATATTTAACCTTGTCCCTATGTTTCTTTGGACTAGCATATTGGTCACTTGGACTGTCATCGCTACCAAGGTCTCTTGATCTACGTCTGTTCACTCTATAAACATCATTATGTTTCTGCTCTTTTTTACTAGTCCAAGTATTTTCAGCACCTATGTCTTGTCTACCGGTTTTTGAATCATTCTTTTCCAATCTCCTTTCATTTCTTTCTTTTGATGTTTGTTTCTTCACATCAACTGTCCTTTTCATATCCTGTTCTGTAATACTGCTTTTCCTATTGACCTGCATCCCTTTCTTTGAAGATCTTTTCTCTGGCATATAAACAGTTTTTGGACTTTGATTTACTGTCTCCAAAGCTGCATCTTTATTTCTATACAATGGTTTCACAGTTTCAGTATTTTTATTTACATAAGGTACATGCTTACTATCTTTCTTTGGTGACTTATCTGGTGAACTTTTAGGGGTGCTAGTTGTAGGATATGCATTAATTTTACCAGAATTATGAAGATCATCATCATCATCATCATTTAAATTATTCCCTGACTTTGTTTTTTTCTTCTTAGATAAAAGAGCTTCAACTACTGCATCCATATCATCATTTAAGTGGTAATCTTTATCAATATCTCCCCTATGAGAGTTTTCCACTGATCCATAAGGAGTACATGGCTCTTCAGCTGGAATCGCAATATTAAGTGGAGTATCAGCTCTCCCTCTTCTCAGTCGAGCTGCATTTGGTCTTTTGATTCTGTGTCTACTATCATTCCTATCTACCTTTCTGTTTGCATCATCCAATTCATCTGAATCTTTTCCTTTCCTTTTTCTAATCTCTTGGTATGTAGACACTTGTCTAGGGATTGGTTTATAACATGGTGGACTTTCATCTTCGCTATCTCCACTGTACACAGGAACCTTGTCTAGGAGGTATGTGGCGTTTCCAGGTTCAAACAAAGGGTCAAGTTCATCATCAGAAAACAGAACATCGGTGTCAATATCATCTGGTGTGTGATGACTTGCCACATCTTTATTGGCATGAACCACATTTTTACGCTGAAAATTTCCAGGTTAGATAAAAGAATACTTTCACTCCCAGATAATCAGTAAACTTTCTTTCCTAGATAATTAGTAAGTACAAATTAAAAATTGGACATTAAACTAGAAGAAGTAAATATGATCATGGCTATGTGGAATCAGTAAAAACAATGCTTAAATAAATCAAGTTAAATCTGCTGCATTCATAGTTGTTTTTTTGTGTGTGTTTTTTGGTTTGCTTTTATGTCGCACCGACACAGTATAGGTCCTATGGCGACTTTCCAGCTTTACTGGTCGAGGAAGACCTCAGGCACTTGAGTAGAACCACTAATGTTCTTTAGCTGGATAGTTTCGCACATATAGAACTGGACAATGCATACACAGCTTGAACCTACAGTGATGAAAGGCAAGTGGTTTGAAGTGAAAAACATTAACCACTTGGCCATTCATAGAGGTAAAATGTCAATTAAATTATTTAATTGAACAATTCTCAGCTGTGTTTATTCCAATAATAATGTAATGAATTTTTAATTGTTTAGTCAATATTCATCTATCACATTTATCATAGGACTACAACGATTCACCTAATGTTCGATTTTATTTCAGGAACTCAGATTCGATAATTTTCAATCTGATTCAAGTATGTTTATTATTTTATTTTTAGTTGATAATTCAGCTTATTGGCTCTACAGTGAGTGGCCCTCAACCTATTTTTTTGCATTTCTTTAGTTGTATAACTCTTTCTCAACTTACTTAACTTTTATTACTAGCAGTATTTATGGGAAAAAAGAAGCTTTTTGGAAAACGATTTCAATCAGACAATTTATAAAAGTTTCATGACATGTAGTACACTTACTTACAATCTTTTTCCTAACTTAAAATAGGCTTATTAAACACATAAACATCATGCTTTCTTTTCATGTTTTGCATTAAGTTAGTTGTACATACCAACTTCTGACATGACACGCCTGATAAACATATCTTACATGTTGCTTTGATTGATTCCTTACCCAAAGTGGTCCTATACCCTTTATTTAAGTATTGTTAGAGAATGTTTTAGATTTATTTTTTTAAATTGATGTTTGAAACCATTCTGATTTGTTTACCCAAAATACAACACTACATAATGAATCACTGGGTGACTGAGTCATAATTAACCAATCGTATGTAATATAATAAAGCGGTAGACTAGTCAGAGAGGGACTAAAACTTGCATTTTTCTGTGTTATTTTTGGTAGTAAATCAAGGAATCCAAAGCCTCTGGTGGGATTCAAACCCATAGCGGAAACAGGCAAGAGAATTGAAGTCAATGACCTTAACCACTAGGCCACAAACATCCCGACAAAAGGATAATCCTGATGCACTTTGTTAAAGTAAAATTTCAGATTAAAACAGAATAACACTGTGTTTACTGAATAAGACAAAATATAAAATAGAAAAGCATTCATCTACAGTAAAAATGGCTGACTGATATATGTTAGTATCTGTAAGTCTGAGGTAAAAGAAAAATCATGTTACAAGACGAGAAGCCTTATAAAACATAAATCTGTTGGTGGTCAATCAGGTTCATACTAAGAACCAACCAAACAGATGCTCGAGTTTGAAGCAGGTCTTTTTATTTATTTACTGTAACTTTTAACTTACCCGAGATCTGCCAGATTTGTGCCGGCCCTCTCGTTCCCTCTCTCTATCCCTATCTTTATCTCTGTGTCTATCCTCTCTGTCTTTATGTCTATCATCTTTATGTCTATCCTCTTTTTCTTTATGTCTGTCTTCTCTGTCTTTACTTTTTTCTTTATGTCTGTCATCACGATCTCTGCTTCGCTCTTTGTCCTCCCCACGGTCACGACTTTTTTTATCCTAGAAAAATACTTACAACATAAGCATAAAAGTTTCTTATACATCCAAGTGTCTGATCATAAAACAGGCATTGAAAGAAGGTTTACACTGTGTTGTAACCAGGCTATCTTAAATAAGAAGCCAAAAAGTAGGTAGATTCATTCAGTGAAAGTGTTCTTATGTTAATCTAAAAATGGAAGTAGAAAAAATTGTGGAAACTGTCCATGATACACTGTCAATATTTAATATGATAAATACAATACTATTACAGACAGACTGATCAACATCCATTTATCCTAACAAAATGATGCTACAAATTAAATATCTTAACTTTTCCAACACTATTTTATGTAAATGACTTGTCCAGTGTAAAATTCTGACCAACTGTCTTATTAAAGTACTGTACCCTTAACTTGCTGGAACAGAAAGTGGTTAATTGTTTGCCTCCAGTATAGAACAAAGCTGAGTCATTTTCTGCTGGCTGACCAACTTAAAATGAGCCGCGTCACGACAAAACCAACATAATGCGTTTGCCACCAGCATGGATCTAGACCAGCCTATGCATCCGCGCAGTCTGATCAGGATCCATGCTGTTCGCTTACTCTATTACAAGTAGAGAAACTGATAGCGAACAGCATGGATCCTGATCAGACTGCGCGGATGCACAGGCTGGTCTGGATCCATGCTGGTCGCGAACCCATTATGTTGGTTTTGTCGTGACACGACTCAAATTTTCATCTTGATATCCCAGGAAAAACCAGTAATAGACAGTTTCAAAAGTGGAACCTGGACAAGTCCCATTAATTTAAGAAATTCAACATTGAAAGAAATGCTCTTATATTTAACAGTTATCTTCAGATATGAACGGTTACATTAGGTAGTGTGTGCTTGGATGACAAGCATACAATTTCTGGAACAGGCAAGTCATGATCAAACTTTGCACTAAAAGACATAGAGTGCAATTCTCATTACCTCATCTCTTTTTCTTCTGTCACTACTCTTTTCTCTATCTCTTGATTTCTCCTCCTTTTCTTCTTTCTTACTAGAACCACCTTTGTTATTCATTCTGTCCAATACTTCATCATTATCAACCTAAAGAAAAAGAAATTCTTGATCAAATTTTTACAAAGCTATGCTTTAAGTTTATAAATATATATTATAAATGGACGTTAATAATAATGACTGTAGTAAAATCATGACAACTACTTTGGAAGCCAAGATAGAAGCGTAACAACGTCCATTCATGATGCTTATTTACTTTAAAAGCAATGCTAGAATCTTGATATGTTGTATTTTAACTTACTTTAGAGCTAATCGCCTGAGCTAATGCTTGGAGAAATTCATTTGTTTTTTCTGGTTCATGGCCAGCCACAACCTTTGCAGGTTTCACAGTAAGCTGTTTTGAAGTTGCTGCACCTGTAATAAATTAAATAGGAATTATTAAAAAGACCTGGACTATGTGAAGAGTAAAAATCCCTTCAAAATTTTGTATTTATGTAGCAAGTATGCATATAGTCGGATATTTTTTTTACCTCACATAACAGAAGTCTATAAAATTCCTCTTCTCAATGCAAATCATGAATTTTTCCCCTGAATTCTGAACTTACACCAGCTTTTTACTTCCTAAATTAGCAATTTTAGCAATAACTCTTCCTTAAATCAAGAAGCTAAGGCCTCTATTCAATTACGTGAGAAAAGCCATTGGTAGATTATAAGTATGCATGTAAGTTTATGTAACTGCTTGTTTATGTTCATAATACCAATACTATAAATTATGGTGTAAAGGTATCAAATGTTATAACGGAAGAAAATCTTCAAATTCACTTGTTAAATTTATTTTTCATCATCTAATTACTAATTCAGCTCATATGGCTGCTACCCGTCACCAGGTGAGAAAAATGTGCAGCATGACCAGGACCAGATAATATGTAAATACCCCTTAATAGTGAACAGTTCTAAACCATTCCATATCATAAAATTGACTTATTTAAATTTAATAAAAGTTTGCAAAATTGTGTCAGGCAAGAGAAAATAAGAAAGAAATCTGGAATAAAGCCAATTTATTGAAACAAAATAAAAACCTTCAGGAATATTATTTTATAGTACTTACAGACATAGTCTACTGACTTCTGTAGAAATGCTATTTTGCTATCTCTGTCCTGAAATAAATACAAAAAACTTTCTTTATCATTGTCCATGAAACATCTTTCAACTAATAGAAAAAGATATTATTATCGTTATAATCACATATATGAAATGGAAATAAGAGTAAACTATTAACTAAAAGGAAATCTCAAATTCTTGTTTTCATGCATTTTGAATTACACTTATTTACAAATCTTCTAAAAACATGGAGCCTAGGCTTTAAATTTTGTAATCCAAAAGTCAGTTTTGGAATGACTAGTTGCTGTAACCTGGTGCTACAGACAATTCAGGGTTAAAACTTAAATATGCTTACACTGAAGCGTATTATAAGTTAAACACAAAGTAATTAAATGTTTCAATGATAAATCAAGATATTCTTACACAATTATTCATAGCCATTTAAAAATAGATTGACCTCATTTATTAAGCTAAGAATTAGTAAATTTTCTCATGACATAAATGATAAAATAAAATAGATTGAAACAAAATGAAAAGAATACAATGCCTAAAGATGAACTTACCTTGACATTTTCTGAGTTCAGTTCAGAATCTGTATAAAGACCCTTCATGACTCCAGTTGTTTTAATCACCTGTAAACAGAAGATCTTGGCATGATTTTTTTTAAAACTGACTTTAATGAAGTTAAAGCTTATATAAGCTTTGCTACCATATTTGGTGATAGTCTCATTGACGGCACCTTTTAATAAACTACATGCATTTGTACAAGTTTCATTCAATTAATTACTCTTTGATAGCAATTGTAACATATCCTTATATTCAAATGAAATGCTTGAGATCTAACGGAAATCTTTTCAGTTACAATGATTTGTATCGTAACTAGTGTTTTAAGAAGAATCAGTTAAATACGGCTTAAATTCATCTCTACTTTAGGGCTTAGTCTAACTAGAAATGTGTCCATAGGACACGGATGCCCCCACACGACACTGTTCTGTCAATCTTATGACTCTAGGTCAAATATTTTTTGGACTACATGTGCCACAAGTTGAAAACTAAAAATCAACAAAGGGCCATAATTCTGTTATATTTGGTTGCAGCAAAAATTCCTTCCTTTACTACCATCTACACATTAAGGTTGTTAATCCCTGGAAGTTTAAGCAAAATCTGCCATCCGGTTTAAGAGGAGTTGCGTTCACAAAATTTCTACATAGTATATAATGAAAAAATAAAAAAAGGGCCATAATTCTGTTAAATTTGGTTGCAGCAAAAATTCCTTTCTTTACTACCATCTACACATTAAGGTTGTTCATCCCTGGAAGTTTAAGCAAAATCTGCCATCCGGTTTAAGAGGAGTTGCGTTCACAAAATTTCTAAACAGTATATAGTGAAAAAATCAACAAAGGGCCATAATTCTGTAAAATTTGGTTGCAGCAAAAATTCCTTCCTTTACTACCATCTACACCTAAAGGTTGTACATCCCTGTAAGTTTAAGCAAAATCTGCCATCCGGTTTAAGAGGAGTTGCGTTCACAAAATTTCTACATAGTATATAGTGAAAAAATCAACAAAGGGCCATAATTCTGTCAAATTTGGTCGCAGCAAAAATTCCTTCCTTTACTACCATCTACACATTAAGGTTGTTCATCCCTGTAAGTTTAAGCAAAATCTGCCATCCGGTTTAAGAGGAGTGGCGTTTACAAAATTTCTACATAGTATCTAGTGAAAAAATCAACAAAGGGCCATAATTCTGTTAAATTTGGTCGCAACGAAAATTCCTTCCTTTACTACCATCTACACATTAAGGTTGTTCATCCCTGTAAGTTTAAGCAAAATCTGCCAACCGGTTTAAGAGGAGTTGCGTTCACAAGATTTCGGGACGTACAGACGGACTGACGGACGGACAAGTGCAACGCTATATGCTCCCACATTGTGGGGGCATAAAAATATATATATCAGACGTTACGGACTTGTTAAAGTTTACAACAGTCAAGCCCAATGTCTAATAGTTATTGCTCATAAACAAAAAGCATCATAAATATTCAAAAAATGTCTATTGTCTTGCCTTTCAAGCTTTATTTGCAAGTTAATTCAAATTTTCTTTCAATTTAATGACCAATCATTAACAAAATCTCTCAAACAATGTAGTTATCAATTCAAAATAAAACACAAACATCAATCTATTTTTGCCTATCCGCCATACTGGTTAAGTGAAGCGCTATACAGATTGATTCCAAATTTTTGAACGGAAAAATATATTCATACACACTGACGGTGCATGGGCAAATATTTTATTCACAAATATTTCATTTGAAACTTTTGACTCATTTTAACGCTTGCATTTGAATAAGGTAATCAAATTTTGCACACTGTGTGAAGGCCATTAGTTTATTTGCTGTATTACGAATTTAATTAAATAAATGAATTTAATCATGATTTTTCGGATGTGACTGTTTAATAAATTTTTTAAAAGGTATTTCTTTTTTACTTTTGTTAATAAAAAGATCAAAATTAAATTCAATTAATGTCTTCATATAGATCTACTAATTTAAGTGTTTTATTGTTCCGTAAGATTTTCTTGCGGAACATGCTATGGGTTTTTGAAAAGTATGATATGACGTTGTTTTGCCAAGTAAATATATCTCAAAGCAATGCCATATCTCAAAGGCAATGCCATATTTATAAGACTACTTTAGGGCTATGCTCCCCTTCAGTGTTGTCTTATTCTCTTGAACAGACATTTCTCTACTGCTGTCACTGGTAACATCAGTATTAGATTCCAAGTGTCAGGGGAAATATCCATGCAAAACCATTGCAGCTAATTTAAATTAGGGGACATTCTCAAATATCTTAATCAAAATTTAAAAAGAAAAGCCATTGTTTTCTAACTTACAGAAGTCATAACATCATGCAGAAACCGAAACGGTGGTTTTGCCAGAAGTTTTTCTGTCAACGGTGGTTTCTTTATGTATTTTCCCAGGGTATCCTGAGTTTTCTTTGCAATTTTCGGGTCCATGTCTGTTTCTACCGTTTGTTTCAATTTACTTTCTAAAAACAATTGTTTAAAATAGCATTTTGTTATCAAAATAATTATACAATTTCACTTTTTTTAAATTTAGTCTTCAACGCTATGTTTTCATGTGTACGGAATTCAATCCCACAATTCAATTCCTCGAGCATACGCAGTTCTTACTTCCGGTGTAGAATGTACACAGTTACCACGGTAACCCGAGACGACAACGATATACTGCTAATTTCGTATTCGTATTTTGTAATGTTGGAAGTTGTTTGATCATATTGAAAGACATTTGACACATAAATTAATCAACATATTTTATTTTATCATAACAGCATTGAAATATATTGCATTGTTTTATCTGCATTTTGAAAAAGAACTCGTAAATTTTCCAATCCCTTTTATTGGATGGATGACTTTCCATATTTATCTATCTATCTATCTCTGAGTACTGCCAACCCCTCTCGCGAGTGTTATAGGCAGGAAATTGTGCGCGTCGGGTGTGTTAGTAAAAGGTGTGAGAGAAAGTAAAAACCTGAAAATGAACATGATCAGGACAGTGAGAGACATTGAAAACTTCTAGTCATTGTTAAAATATTTTTATTAGTAAGGGTGAAAGAAAGATTTAAAAGTAAAAACACAACAAGTCAACTAATACTGTATCTTAACCACTGCCTGTTTGTATTGATCTAGATCAGGCAGGGTGACAATGTTCCCTGGGAGCTGGTTCCAAAGTGTGATACAGTGGGGGAAGAAGGAGAACTTATGGTAGTCTGATGTAACCTGTATTTTCCTAAGAGAGAGGGGATGCATATGTCTAGTAAGCCTAGATGGAGTTTTAATGTAGGTGGGAAGGCTAATGGCTACTAGATTATGGTAGATTTTAAAAAACATAATAAGTCTAAAGTCTAGTCTGCGATGCTCGAGAGAACGCCAGCCAAGATCTTTCTGCATGGCTGTAACTGATGACAAAGGGGAGTAATCCTGTTTTACCCAGCGTATCGCTCGTCTTTGGACCATCTCTATTTTTTGGATGTTTGATTGTGTGTAGGGGCTCCAAACAGTTGATGCGTATTCTAACTGGGGTCTTACTAGGGATTTATAAGCTAGTTGTTTTACTTTTTCATTTTTTGTATTGATATTTCGTTTTATGAATCCTAGGGTTTTGTTTGCATTTGATGTAATTCTTGAGATATGTGTGTTATAGTTTAGGTCTGTGGACAAGTCAAGGCCAAGGTATTTTGAGCTAGGAACTGATGTTAAAGCTTGGCCATGAAGGAAGTAATTGTTGTTGGTGACTTTTTTGTTTTTAGTGATGTGAAGGACTTGACATTTTGAGGGGTTGAATTCCATGTCCCACTCCCTTTCCCAGATTTGCATCTTATCAAGATCCTCCTGAAGGGATTGTGAGTCTGAGGATAAACTGAGATAAATTCAGCTATATTATACCACAGGGGAATTGAACATTAAATTGAGAGAAATTCAGCAATATTATATCACAGGGGTATTGAATGTTCAAAAAATATATGTTTGATAACCTAAAACATAAATCTGAAGGTGAAATTAATTTTTTAAGTCCATTTCACTAATAGACCCTAAATCAGATTTCAAAATCTACACAGCACATTTTTTTGTGAATATTCAATAATTTGTAGGCCTACCCCTCCGTTTTGCACAGGTTTGTGGCTAACAAAATTTTAACAATTCATATATTTAAGAATTTTACATCACAAAGAAAAAAAAAGTCCAATTTTTGAATGTAGCTTTAGAAAGTTGAGGGCCTCGCACTTTGGCCTAAAATGTAGTTTTCATTGAGCACTTGTAAAATCTTTAATTAATTACAACCATGGTCCATCTAATTAAACTACTGTAGACAGAGGCAATGTCTTTTTAAAATAAGTGTAGCAAAAAATCTGTAATTTCAGTTTACAGTTATTTATTAATGTTCGGGAAAAGTAGATTGATTCAGTATTGAAATAACACTATATCACCATACATGGTTTCAATTAAATTACAACTTTTCGAAGTTTTCCAATTATGGAAATGTTGTATCTCTTAATTTAGACCACTATTATTTAATTAATGCATCAGCGGTAGGCCTATTGGTATAGATCTAAAATTTGTTTTTTATTAGCTCCGTACAGAGATATCTTACTTGTGAGTCAGAAATCTGAATCAAATTGACAATGGAATTTAACTGGCTGGTAAACTTTATTCTAGCCTACTTAAAATCTCCAGTAACCATTCAAAACTTGCACAAGGGCAATTATGGGAGGCAACTTGCCTCTCAAGGGAGGTAATGTGATTTGATTGGCTTTGCTCTATGTAGCAAAGCAAAGGGGGACCACTGCATAGTTTACATTTAAACAGCAAGTCCATTTTAAACTAGAGTTTCTCAGGGCAATGTGTAACAATGTTACTGCAGCAAGGCAACACTTGGGCTTATCTGGGGAAGTGAAAAGAGTAACATTTTTGCAACTGACTATAAAGTAATAATAATGTTGTATACAGGTAAAACAAACAAGTACAAAAACAGTCTGGCTTCATATTAATTTAATGGTAATGGAAGTTCATAACAGATTACAAGCTTTAATAAACAGTGATACAAAATGAAATTAAGCTTACTATAATCAATTAAGATGCATGAAAAATAAATATCTAAAACATTTCAATAATAGTTTTATACAATGTACAAGTAACTTACAGTATACATGTATATAATTATTCATTAAAGTGGATTGGTCTACAATGGACATATTTTTCAGAAGTATTTCAAATATTGATAAAAACAATTCAAATATATCATTTGGATATTCTTATGAAATATTCCTGAATAATAGAATTCTAAAGTGATTTAGTTATTATGAACATTATAAATGATGAATAATTAAATTTTATTCTAGGACACTTTATTACCTGCTATATAAATTATATGTCAAATTGGATCAGTACCCAACACTTCCATTTATAATTCTTCTGCAGGTTGGTTTCACATATGATATTAAATACTATTAACATAATTATTTAAGACATTACAGATATTCTATTAGAGACCAATTCCCTTTAAATGAGTTTCTAAATTTAACTCAATAATTTGTAGTATTTTCAATGGATAATTTGATTATTCAAATTATTCTGGAAAACATCTTACAGATACATGAAGCCTAAAATATTTGTACAAAAATGTGTTTATGTGTTTCCTGGTTTTAGACTTTTGGCTGAAGGGGTACCAGTAGGTTCCTTTCACTAGGAAAAATTTAAAATCTGCATGTGATTTTGTAATGGTGTTATTTCCTAAGGCTTGTAAAGATTGAAACATTTTTTTCTTCTACTTCTTTTTCTTCAAAAACATTTTTTGAGGAAATATTAGTGCAGAAGGTTCCACACTCTATCTGACACAGTGTCACCCTTATACTTTTATTTCCTCCATATTTAGAGAGCAAACTTAACAATTGTGCCACCCTCTGACATAGTTCCACAATTATACTTTATAATTATATACAAATATTATATATCTATAACCACAAGTAATTTAATTTTATACAATGTGCAACATAATTATATTCTTAATCAAAGCTTAAACAACAACAAATATCAACAAGTATTAATAATTCTTTTGCAATACTTTTAACATTGATTGTGATTAAATAATGAGAAAAGAAAACAATAAAACAAAGCAACAGTTTCAAAGCATGTAGGCATGTATTTTTAATTTATAGAGGGTCAAAATGTCCTTTCTAGAACCATCAGAACAGTTCCAAATAATGTCACTTGGTACCGGTACCCGGCACTCTCTTGAAAGTTATAAAGATAATCATTAACCAACCAATATTCCAATGATTTTGAAGAACATCTCTGACATTTTTCTATTTCAAAGCAAAAGTTTTAATAACTGCTGCACGTAATTCTCTTACTTGTATATCTGAATTTTATTAGCTGTGAATGACTTTACACAAGTGCTGCTCACTTTCATGGATACATGTATTTGCATATAGCAGTCTTTCAAATTAAGTACTTAAGTGTGATTTCTGATTCTTATTATTCAAGAATTATTAAATAAACATCATTCTTAACATTTCAATGTGATTCTTATCATTAAAGTGTGATTATTATAATAATAAAATCATTTTGCGGATTATACCGGTAACATAAGTGGTAATAAAACTTTACACCATAAAAAAGAAATGTTAACCATGCAATGAAACAATGACACCAAGTGATTTCACTTTAAATGTAAAAGTTTTTTAGTTTTAACACATATACATAGAACATTAATAATCTTTTTAATGGGTAAAAAAAACAACAGAAAAAAAACAACATTGAATTGCAAAGACACAGAGTTATGTCTATGAATAAAATATGGATCATTATCATTCTTAATGACTATAAAAATGTTCACAAGTTAGAACAAATAACAATCTAATGAGTATAATGAACAGTAAATTAAAAAGATCAAGTGCAAGAAAAATTGTACAATTACAAATGTATAAAATATTAATATTTTTCAAGAATTACTTCCCTTTATGAACAGAAAATAGAACCTCCTTATATCTATGGGAATATTTTTCGATGTTTCTACCTATTGAAACATAAATAGAATGTTTTCAATAGCTCTGACAGTGTTAAAAATTTATCTTTAAATCCATACTGATCTTCCTTGGAATTCTATAGGAAGATGTTAAAGGGAGATAACTTTAAAATATTTATTTATCATATTTATCACAGAATCATTGAAATTATTTTATAATTTCTGCAAGAAACTAAAATTTGTTTTGGAAGATTCTTAACTTTGCCCATTTACTTATTTTTCATTCTTACATACATATATATATATAAACATGTAGATACATTTGTAAATCATATAACATCCTCCTTCAACAGTTCAATTAATTTGAGATAGAAAGATCCTTTTAATATAGTAGTAATAAAACCTTTTAATTGATTACCTAATTGATTTTGCGTAAGTGTTAGTGAAGGTAAATTCTAAAAGGAAGCTTTTCTTCATGAATATCAAAGCTGCATGCCTCCAGAAGATGAGCAAAAATATTACAAGAAAATAAAAATTTAGAAAAATGTACTTAGTTTTTAACAAAAGTAAAAGGATTCAAGGAATTATTTACATGGTGTGTGCAGGTAATGAGTTATTTTGCAGCATTTATCAC